ATACTCACTTATAAGTAGATACTTAGATATATAATATAGGTTAATTGCACTTTTGTCTAATTTAGAATCACAGTAGCTGCTGGGCACACAATATCCTGAGCCATACCACAGATGCTCCGCTGTGCAAATGGGACAGAAGGACTCAGCTATCACTACATCCAGTTCCTGTGTGCTCAGCACTGTTCAGGGAGGTAGAGTTCCATTGCAAATGGGATTCCCAAAAGACAGCCCTTCATTCAGGAGTCCAGGTGATGCGACTGGACACATGCTCAGTTCACAGTATGTGCCCTAGACAGGACTACCAGGTCTGCTGTGAAATCTGTGGTTCAGCGTAGGCTAGATTAATGCCCACCTCCCAGGAAGGTGATGGGACAAACCTGAATGTTCCTCGGAGTAGCTGTGGAAATGAGTTTTCTAAAGACCTTCAAGGGAGTAAATTTCTTCTCTTTTCAGACCACACATTAGATCGCAGCTTTTCAAAATCCCTCTGATAAATAGGACCGAATCAGTATCCTGCAGAAGCTCCGCTCTTCCGAGTTTAAATTGGGATTCCATCTCGAAGTCTGCTTTTATTTACAATCATGGCTCATGTAATTCGGGCACCTTTTGGTCCCTGGGAGTCTGGTTTGCTTTCTCATGACATCTTTCAGCTGCATTTGATTTGCTTTTGATGAGCACATGCCCTCTAGACAACAGGGAATCAGTCAGGTTAGGTTACATTGACAGGACAGAAAATTCTGGAGGTTTGTGTGGTTCATTCATTTATTTGTCTGTACATTAGTTCAGTCAACACTGAACATTTTTTATGCCTGGCATTGGGATAGGTGTGGTATGCACTACAGAGGTAAAAGGTACTGGTTTTGCCCTTTAGGAGCTCACATTGCTGTGGAGCTGGCAGACACCCAAGAAACAATTATATTGTAGCACGGTAACACTCTAACAATACTCTCAATATTTGTGTGCCAGACTGCCTGGAGCTGAATTTGAATAATGTATTCACAGAAGTACACGCTAAAAGTTTACATCCTAGTGTTAAGAGAAAGTTATAGTTGGCTGCTATGGGCACAGCTTTGAAGATATTTAAATATATTTACCTTTTGTGGAAGAATCATAAAATGTGGCTGAGTCCTTTCAGTTGAGCAAGAGTTTTCTGAATAAAGGCTAGGGATAGTAGAAGGCAATAAGGAGGATAGTCTATCATAATGCCAGGCAGAGAAAATGTCTGCCAGTGCAAGTGTGACAGGTGGATAAGGATGAAAAGGTGAGGCCATACCGCAGAGTAAGTGACTTAGTAGGAGCACAGACATCATTGTTCAGAGGCTAGGACCGTGCAAGGGTTTAACTTGAAAACATTAGTGGCTTAGAATGCTTTTCATTTTTGAGACAGGGTCTTACTTTACTGTCTAGCCTGAGATTTGCTACATAACCCAGTCAGCCCTCAAATTCACTCCACCTTCCTCTGCCTCCATCTCCCAGTGTGGGGATTACAAGCCTGCACCATTAAGACCAGGTTTTAGAATGATTTTCAATGGTAAATAAATAATAATCAACCTACACCCCATAGAGAGAGACTAGGCAAGAGAGGAAGGGACTAGGGGGAACAGGTCCATCTCCCTGGGAGAGGAAAATAGAATAGATTTTATGGGTGGACTGAGGCCAGGTGAGGAGTAGGAGGAGAATGGGAGGATCAGATGGGGAGGGGAGGGGAGATAGGGTTGAGGAAGAGAACAAGGAGAGAGATAGCTGGAATTAAGGGGCATTTGAAGAATGATATAGAAACCTAGTGCAGTGGAAACTTCCTAAATTATATGAGGCTAATCCTAATGAGGCCTCTTAATAATGGGGGAGATGGAGTCCTAACTGGCTATCTCTTGTCACCAAATGAGGCTTTCAGTAAAGAGACTGGATTATATTTAATTGAATTATTGATCAAGGAGGGTTCCATGGAAATCCCCAAACAACCAAGGCTGTTGTTAAGACAATGGGTTGCTCTCTGCAAACTGACAGTGGGATCCCCTTTCTTAAGGACAACACCAACACAACTCATTAAACAGAGAAGCTGAGATGGTGACCAACAAGACTGTTCATCTCTACATTCTTTGGTCTTCGCTGTGAAAAAGTGCTCTGCAGTCTACCAAAAGAGAAACATAAACATCAACCCAGCCACAAACCCTTTGATCTAATTTGTCCTGCCTTCAAGATATGCTATGGCAACGGTGCTGCAGAACTTGTGGGAGTAGCTAACCCATGTCTGATTTGACTTAAGGATCCCTACATGAGATGGAATGCATACCCTACATTGCTTAGCTGAACAAGAACCAGAGACTGTATAGCACAGAAAGCCAAATATTATTGTTCTAAAAAAATAAAAGTATCAATAAAATGTGTTTTAATGATATTTATAAATGAGTGCCTTATTCAGTCATCATCAGAGAAGCTTTCTCCTGCAGCAGATGGAACCGATGCAAAGACCCAGAACCAGACATTGTGTGGAGAGTCTTTGGAGCACACAGCTCTAATTGGGATATCTCATCAAATCCCTCCCATCAGAGTTCAGGAAACACCAGGAGGTGGAGCAGAAAGAGTGTAAGAGCCCAAGGGGATGACAGACATCAGGACAACAAAGTACTCTGAATTGACTGAACAAGACTTATATGAACTCACAGATTCAGAAGCAGCAAGCATAGAGTCTACATGGGTCTGCGCCAGGTCCTCTGTGAATATAAACTTTCAGCTTAGAATTTTTATGGAACTCCTGAGTGTGTGAACAAGTGGGACTCTTATTCATGTGCCTGCTCTTGGGGCTCTTTTCCTTCTGTTGGGGTGCCTTGTCCTGTCTTGATGTGATGGTTTTTATTTTGTTCTAGTATGCTTTATTTTGTTATGTTTGATTGTTATTTCTTCGAAGCTTGTTCTTTTATAACGAGAGACAGAAAGGAATGGATCCAGAGAAGAGAGGAGTTGGGGGGGGGGACTAGGAGGAGTAGAGGGAGGGGAAACTCTAATCAGGTTATATTGTATGAAAAGACAATCTATTTTCATCCAGGCAGGAGTGGCTTTAATCTCAGCATTTGAGAGGCAGAGGCAGGTGGATCTCAAAGTTCAAGGCCAGCCTGGTTTTCTGGAATGAGTTCCAGAAAAGCCAAGGTTACACAGAGAAACCTGTTTTGAAAAAAAATTTTTCTTAAAAAAAACACTTTTTATTGATTTTTTTGTGAATTTCATATAATGTACTCCAATCGCACTCATATTCCCCCTCCCCTCATACATACCCTCCACTCTTGCAACCTCCCCCCAACATAAAAAAAATTTCATTGTGGAAGCTGTAGTGTGTCACAGTGTGTCCCACTGTATACCCTTTTGTCCATACTTCTTTGCTTGCAATTGTTCATTGAAATGACTTATTGGGCTGGTATGAGGCCTCTGGCTTCTGCTACTTTATAAATACTGGTACCTTACTGGTACTCCTCTTGGATATCCTGTTATTGCTGTGCATCATCTTATATTTTTGGATCTGTATAACTGACCTCTTCATGTCCTTCAGCACTTCATCAATGGGGTAGATGTTGTGGTAGGGCCAATTCAAATCCCTGGATGGTCAGCCCACTGGCCCTCATGCCCTTGTGACTGGCTCATCTGCAACCCCAACAGCCAGGGCCAGCTCTACTATGCTGCACAGGAGAAGTTCAGGGCCTACTTTCCTGAGTGCTGCAGTAGGTGGTGGTCAGGAATAGCTCTCCTGCCTGCCATAGATGGCAAGAGCTAAGGGTAGGGGAGGGTATTTCTCCCTTGTCCATGCTGCCAAACAGCAGACAAGAGACAGGGCCAGATCTCCCACACTCATGCCCTCAACTGCCACATCTGGGGCCAGTTCTTCCGTGCTGCCCAGGTGAAGGGCAGGGCCTGCTCTCCTGATTGCTGCAGCAGGTGAGGGACAGGGCCTGCTCTCTCAAGTGCTACAGTTAGAGAAGAGCAGGACCAGCTCTCCTGCTCTCCTGACCCCAGGTCCAGGTCTCCTACTTCTCACAGGTGAGGAGGAGGAGGAGGAGGAGGAGGAGGAGGAGGAGGAGGAGGAGAATATCGATCCCTTGTCCATGTCACCACAGGGAGGTGAGTGGTAAGGCCAGCCCTTCCATGCTTGCATACTCAGGGGCCCTCTTATTTGCAGTTCCCACAATGTGTGGGGCTGCTCTCTTGATTACTGCAGCTGGCTAGAGGCAGGGTCAGCTCTCCTGCTCTCTTGCCCTTAGGGTCAGCTCCTGCACAATGCCCAGGTGAGGAGTGGGGCCAGTCTGCACAGCCCTCAGACATCAACATGTCCCTGGGTGGCCACCCAGACCGGGAACATCTGCCTGGCCTTTGGTGCTAACAGACTCCTGCTGCTACAAGGTCATGGACCCAGACATGGCTTCCTGTGGCAGCATAGGCCAGGACCCTACTATGGTCCTAGGTGGCATCACCAGCTACTCACATCAGGTCTACTCACCTTCAAGTCTCCAGTTTTGCTTCTCAGTTGTGCCCACATCTTTCTGTTTCTCTTTCTCTTCCATTTCTCCACCACTTACTTGGTCCTCTTAGTGGTGTTCAGGGTCTCTGAGTGTCTGGGATTATCTTAGGAGTTGTCTCAGGCATGCTAAACTTGGCTTGTGCATTTTGGCACCAGAACAGGGTCATCTCAAGCGTGGTCTGCCACCTCCCAGGTCCCCAGACCTTTGCATTGCTGGATTGTTGCTAATCTCAGGCTAGCTCGCTGTCTGGGACCCATAGCATCAGTCTGGTGGTTGTCTTAGGTTTTCTCCTGTCTGCCGGAGGGGCCATCTGTCTTGGGTTCACTCCTTCCTGGGACCACTGGCTCCAGGAGGGTTCTTCTAGTCTCTGGCTTGTTTATCCTGGGAGACAGTCCAGGTCTGCCTGGTGCTGGACTGATGGTTGTTTCAGGCTATCTCCCTGTCTGGGTCCCCTGGCACAGGACTAATGGTGGTCTCAGGCTCACCCTTCTTCAAGTAAGGCTACTCATCATTCAGAAGCTTATAGGTCAACACTGAGCATAGACATGGCCTCTTTCCTCTCTGCCACCTACTGATGCACACGTGACACAGCAGTCCCACTGGCAATGTCTCTAGGGGGAAGGTAAGAATCTTATTTTCAATAAGAGAAAAAATAAGAATGATTTTCAATGGCAAGTGATGAAAAGTTGTTTTTTTTTTTTTTTTTTTTTTCCCCAAGAAGGGAAGCAGGCAAAGGTACTGTCAGGGAGAAAAGTTGGTAGTCTTCTATATGTTGTAATAAATAAGAAAGATGAGTGTTTTGGGCTATATAACAATATTTATTATTTGCCCTATGATTATCACGGTGGTATTATCTAACCCGCTATCACAAATAATAAGACACAGACACCTGTTAGATTTTATTATTGCCTTATTTACCTTGGGCGGGGCAAATATTCCTACCTCTACTGTCTGAATCACCTCACCATCAATCTTCCAGCCCCCATCCAATGCCATCCTCCTTACCATCCTTTCATTCATGATCTTGTAAATACTTGCTTTTATTCTTTGTCTGGGCTTTTTTCACACCATTATTGGAGTCCTTCCTCCTGGCCCCATGTATTTTCTTTTCCAGGCTAATCCATCATCTTCCTTCTTCCTGTCTTCTTCTCCATCTGTCTCCTGTGATTATCTCTGAAGCCCAGGAACCTTACCATGCCTACCTTATTCTTCTCTGCCTAGGTATAGGCTCTTTAATTAACTGATCAGATATAATGACTTGGGCAGATTTACAAAACAAGCATAGTTGTAACCAGATCTTGAGGGCCAACATTAGAACAGCCCCCAAGATATGCAGTTATCTAAAAAATAAAGTAAGTGGTTGATCTAGAAACAGTGGTATTGCCCTCAGAGAAAAGAATGATTACTATATTGGTAAGGAAGAAAATCTGTGGATCTATAGGATATATGAATTGGATGAGAAGCATTAGAAAGGATGAAATTCAGACTGAGTTTGCTTTCTGTGGCTGACATATTACCATGAGACTGTGTGTTCGTTGGTGTTTTATGACTGTGACAAAATGCTCGAGAAAACAACTAAAAGGAGTGTGGGTTTATTTCAGCTTGTGGTTCTGAACGTTGCATTCATGATCAGCACGTGATCCTCGCTTTGGAGCAGAGATGAGACAGCAGCACAAGCACACTAGTGATTTCATTGCTGTGGAAACCTACACTGAGAGTTCAAATGTGCAATACATCGTGGTTAAGTTCTGCTAACAGGAAAGTGAGGCATCTGGATCCATTGCATTTGTGGCAAGAAAGCAGAGGACAGAGGGTGCCAATACTCAGCTTGCTTTCTCCGTTATATTTAGCCTGACAGAGTGGATCTTCCCTCCCCAGTTAACCCTAATTTACATGTTTCATCACAGACTTTCCAGTGTTTAGAAATTTGTCTTCAAGGTGATTCTAGATCCTATAAAGTTGACAAGCAGTTGAAACTGTCACAATGAGCAAGTGGTAGAGGAAGCTTCTTCCACTGTGGCAGCCAAGAAACAGAAAGCTGAAGATGAAAAGGCATATTTTTCAAAGGCAGTCCCCAGATAACTGTTTCTCCCATTTGTCCCCACCTTCTGTAGTTCTACACCTCCCAATAGTCTATCCAAATGTGGACCCATCAGTGGGCTGGATTGTTGTTTAGGCCAGGCTCCTCATGATCCACTCATCTCTTGACACACCCTCAGTCATACACAGAGCTCCCTTAAGCACCTCTCGATACAGCCAGACTCACTAGAATAATCATCACAGACTAGAATCCTTTGGTATTACCTTGGGTGATCCTTTGTTAACTTTCAGGTTACTCTGTAAAGAAGTCACCACTCCCATGGTGCAGATTATGAGTTTGATGACTTATGCAAGCCCTCTTAGGCTAGGAATAGTTGTGACATGCATACACATGCGTAGGTACATATATACCTTCATTTGGCTGTGTTATTATCTGTGGGCTTTTGGATGCTGCTTCTTTTTACTTCTATGACATGTTAAGATATCAGGGCACTGTTGAGGTCATGTGCCTGGGCTCTGGAGCCAGAGTGTCTGGGCATAAGCTTAGCTCCACTCTTCAGTTGAGCAGTAACCTAGGATAAATAATGGAACTACTTGCTTGATCACTATCTTCCCTCCATAGAACTTTCGAAACAATCACACCTGCCTCATGGGCATAATGTGAGGGTTAAATTAGTTCATTGTAATTCCCTGATACAGTAGCTTGTCTGGTAAAAGGTGTTCACTAAATGACCATCAAGTCTCCTTGCCAAGATTGTATTCACAGGAACAAACCCCTCTAAGGGTCTGTGATGCTTCTTGAATGGGCTGTCTGTTGCTTACTTGAAAAGCCCCAGCTCTCCACCAGACCTGTGGCAATGGCCCTGTATTTGTTCTCTTCATCCATTTCCACAACAGAGTTATAGGGGCCTGCAGTACTGTGATCCCAATGTTGGAGAAAAAGCACAGTGAGTGGCGGTAATAAATGCACCCCAAACAATCATATAGCTAGCCAGCAGAGGAAGGGTGCAAGAGACAACTGCTTCATCCATCACCATGGTCACATGAGCTGTTGTCAGGACAGTCAGGGGGTAAAGTTTCTTGTAGAGATCCATTGTAGCCATCCACATCTGTTCATGATCGTAATGGCTCATGGGAATTATGATTACCTGCACAGTATCTTCACAAGATGGGGAGCCTCCAGAAGAGTCAAAGACACCAGAGAAACACAGCTCACAGAATTAACTAAGCAGGGCCACAGGAGTTCCCAGAAACTGAAGAGAGAATGATGGAGCCTTCCTGGGTCCAAGGTCCTCCGCATACATTCTGTGGTTGTTTAGCTTAAGGTTTTTGTGGGTGTGAGTACGAGTGTCTCTAACTCCTTTGCCTGCTCTTGGGACTCTTTCTCAAACTGGGTTGCTTTGTCTAACCTTGATATGAGGGTTTGTGCCTACTGTTATTATTGCATTGTGTTATGCCACGTCATCACGATATCCCTGGGAGGCCTGAGGGACTCCGCTGATAAGGTTGAAAGTGTGATGTTTCCAGATAGCCTCTGAGCTTGGTCTCTAATGTCAGACTCCCTTTTTCATCAGGGTTCACTCTTTGCCTGATCTGGGGAATCCCAGATCCTGTAAGGAGCATCACATAGCCCTCAGGGAAGATTATAGGCTTGACCCTTTTCTGATTAGAAACCTGTTCAGCAAGCACCTGAAAATTCCTGGAGATACCCACCCTATGCTAATAAGATGTCTTGGTGTCTTGGCTTTCCAAAAATGGTCTTTACTGTACCTGGAGATTTCCCTCCACCCATAGGATAATTAAGTACTGTGTTTTCCTTGTGATAGGATTGTGCTGTGGTATGTAAATGAGGTGATGAACCACTACATGTAAATCAAGTATCCATAGCATCTCTAGCTCCATCAAATCAAACACATTCACCCTTGAAATCCCTCCCATTGCCCAAGACTTATAAGTTCTTGATGCACAAAGTAAAGCTCTCTTGTACTCTCTCACTCCACTTCTCCACCATGGCTACTTGAGACTCATCATTTATTCTGGGGAAGAGAGGGCTCCTCTTCTCCCTGGAAATTCATCGCTGAACTCCTGGGGCTTAGTTCTCTGGCTGGAGCCTGCTTGACAACCAGGAGCTCAGTGTTGACTTCTGGAAGGCATGCCAGGCCTGCCTTCTAGCTTGCTGGGCCTGAGCCTTGCCAGGCCTGTGTTTTGGCTGCAAGCCAATCAGGCATAGACTTTTTCCTGCACCCTTGCCCCTGCCATTAATACAGCAGCTTTACCAAAGGGCTGTAACCCACTTTGGTATCATCACCAGATTTTGGAATGCCTCAGTTTCCTCTGCCGTCTGGTACCAGCTATCTCATTTCAAAAGAGCTAACTGTAACACCCAGTGGAACACTCATTTCCACCTCCCCAGGTGAGACTGGGAGCCTTGCCTTAAAGTGCTCTAGCTGGTCCAGAGAGAAACAGAAGCTCTCATCTTTAAATCCTTCTGTTCTTCGATGGAAGCTGACAGTTGCATCCCAGACTACTGCTGGACAGAGAAGGACAGAGAAGCAGTGAATCTGAATGAGAAGGTAGGTGGGCAGCACTTGGAGGAATGACAGGAGGGGAATCTACAGTCAAGATGTATTTTATGAAAGAATAATTTAAAAAAAGATGGAGCTCCTCACATTTCATCAGGGGTGGGTAGGGACTTATAAGGGCTCTTCACTCCTCTAAGAATTAGGAATTAAAGGTTACTGGGGCAAAGGAATAATTTTCTTTAGTGATGCAGCCATTGTTAAGTTTCCTATGCTTCCATAAATAACCCTTTGCCCATATTCATGTAAGGAACCCTAATAATCTCAATGAGTCACGAAACAAACAAAAGACATGAAATTAAGGCAAAGATTTGTTCAGAGTGTAGCAAAAGTAAGAATAGGATGAGAAAGGATAATGGGGAATTGAAATGACAAAAATATATTCTGTGTGTATGAAATTGTCAAAGAAGAATAACTAAGCAAATACATAAAATACTGGATTAAGTCTGCATACGTTTTGTTGAAAATTTGTGCATCTATAGTTAAAGGCATTTTGGCAAATGGATTTCAGCTTCCTTTACATTTGACTTAATTTATTTTTGCTTTTATCTTCAATGTTTCTTTTACTATACTTATCATGGATTTAAAAAGTTCTGGTACTTATGTATTAAATAAAAGCTGAGGACACAGATCGACCTCTATGCTTCAGTGCAATGAACGTCCATGTGCTTGTTTAGCTGAACTCCACATGGTTTTAGACCCTAATTTTTTGTTATGCACCTGAATTGTATGTGACACGGGGCTTCGTTATCACTTTTCGTACCTGTATATAATGTAGTTTGGTTATATTCATCCCCTAGTATAACCCTTCTGCTCCCATCTATCCTTTTCTTTTTTCCATTGGTCTTCTTTCCTGCTTTCATGTCTTTGTGTGTGTTACTTAGCACTATGGGTAAGGACTTATGTGTAGGAGCACGTCTAACTTAAGCAGTGGCTACACCACTAAAGAAAAAAATGTCCACCTCCCCTAGTAACCATGAACTATTGATCCTCAGGAAAAGGA